CGGCGATGGGCCGCAGCTGGGGCTTCCTGGTCGGCCTCCTGGGCGCCGCGTGGCTGCTGCGCTCGGGCGACGGCGGGCAGCAGGGGCCTGAGACGGCGGCGCAGCGCTGCTTCTGCCAGGTGAGGGGCTCGGGCCGCGGCGGGCGGGAGGGCGCAGCGCGCATCCTTCCGGGACCTGAGCGTCGTCCACCCGGCGTCGCTGAGTAGCGCGGCTGCGGCCCTGGCTTTCTGCGGCGGTGCTGCGGCTTTCTGTGCGCTCCCTGCCCGGGGAGGGCCTGCGAGCGGGGAGCAGCGCCGACGCCGGGGTTCCTTCGGTGACCGGGACCTATGTTCCCGCGCCGGGCGTGCTGGAGGGCCTCAGCCTTCCCGTCCGGGACGGGGTTGGGAGCGACGTGCACCATGCTCCCGGGGGCTTGTGGAGCGGGAGAGCGGCCGGCGGGGCCCGGGTCGTCCTGTGGCTGCCCCTGTGTGCTTCCTTCATCCTGAAGGAATGGTGTCTCTCATCGTGACAAGTCAACTCTTTGGGTGACTGGAATTGCTGGATGGCCCTCGCTCTCTAATGCACGACTTCGATCCTGAGTTTATGATTATTTTCTTCTGTAAGATGTGGGTCCTGTAAGGAAAACATTCAAAGAAACTTTGCGTTTCCTGTTTTCCAATACCATTACTTTCTTGTTTTTTTGGGGGGGGCATCATAGCCTGTTAGTTTTGTATGAGGGTATTTAGATTAGGCACGATGAAATAACCATGAATTTCATTTTACATCACTCAGCACCTAAAATTGGTTTAGGTGCTGTTCCATGCCTTAGGTTAGTGCATTCTTGTAAATTCATTGAAGAACATTTCCTGATTATTAGTGCTTTTTTCTCTTTTTTCTTCCATTTATTACCAAAGGTTGTATCCAGGTTAGAGGTGTTGAGGTTAGAGGACAGCTTGCCTAAATGAGTCCTCTCTCACACACGGACCTGGGAATTTAAGGCTGAGGCATCTCGCCCACCTTCATTGCTATTCTTGAAGCCAAAATTACATTTTATTAAAAAGTGAGAGCTAGGTAGCCAAATTATTCATTTTAGGTGGGTCTTAATTACTAATGATCAGAAGTAATGTGGATATTAGAGTATGACACTGTCCGATGGAACAAAGAAGTACTTATATGTATCATCTCTTTACTGTTTTACATTCGCGGATTTTGTTGTTTTCATGAGTAATTTGGGAGCTGGGGTGAGTTGTGGGGGAAGTTGAAAGTAAGCTGCTGCTTTGCAAGTAAGTCATGGGGCTGGAAGCTGCTTCACCTCCAGTGGTGGCAAACAACAGCACACAAAGAAAAAGGGCTATTTTTCTTTGATTACAAATGTCACATACACAAAGTTTAAACATCTAACCACAAGTAAGGTAGGAATAACTAGCTTTTAATATAACATAGTGTTGAATAAAAGATATTCAGCCTATCATTATCAAGGGTATTCTCAGTGTTTGGATAATAGAATAAAAGTAATGACTCTTCAACTTTAACCCTATTCCCAATGTTTTTAGAGCTTTCCTTAGAAGTGTTTCCCTTTCATGATATTCCTAGATTTAAATACTCACTAATACAGAAAAAAAAAAATCTGTGAAGCCACTGTCTGAGAACAAGAGTGGCTGTTTTCTTCAGAGTCAACCTTGAAGAGTAGTAAACTAGCCAGGCATAGTGGTGCTTGCCAGTAATTCCTGTATTTAGGAGCTAGAGGCAGGAGGATCAGGAGTTCAACGGCAGCCTGGGATACACAGTGAGATTCTTGTCTCCAAAAAATAAAAAATAAAAAGAACAGCTAACAACAGAAATAAAAAGTCTTATGTTTTTCTCTTCCTGCTGCTGGCCTTTCCTAACACTTCTGCCTTGGGTTACCACATCTCCACCCTATGTGTGGTATGGGTATCTGGTTTTCAGTTGGGGTTCGTTCACAGGCTATTATCTCTGATCTGAATCAGCAGTATGTAGTTGTAGTGTCTTAGAAAGTCACTGTAGTTCAATGTTCAGAGCTCTACAAGCAATCTGAAATTCAGTAAGCACTTGTTAACTTCTACTGTTAGTAAGCTCTGAGAGATCAAAAAATAATGAAAAGTGGTTTTGAAACTCCAGAGTACTGAACCTGGTATGCAATTGGTGCTCAGCAAATGTTAGGGAGATTTCAGTGCAACTTGTACAAAAATCACTTAGTGGCAGCGAGATGTCTCAGTGGGCAAAGGCACTTGCCAGTAAGCCTGATAGACCTGAATTCTAGGACCCGCATGGTGGAAAGAACCAGGTCCTGCAAGTTATTCCCTGACTTCCACCCCTTCCCCCAAATAAATAAATGTAAAAACAATATTAAAAAATTATTCAGTAAGCCATTTGCATAGTTTAATGAAATTGGTCTTTCAGATGAGTTGATGGCTCTAATGAATCTTTGAACTTGGCCAGTTACTACATAAATATGTAGTATTTGTTGATATCAAATCCTATTAAAATGATTTTTACTGTATACCATAAATTTTTTTGATAATAGTGTTTTACTAGTTCATTACTCAAAATGATTGTTTGGTACTCATAAATCTTATATACAACCCCATAGTTTTTTTATTAGCCTATTAAAACATTAGTTATAAATATTGTTTTATTAATTTATACAGAAAGTTGGCTCTTATCCCATCTGAGCATTTAAGTTTGTGGGTAGATTGAGTAAATAATTCTGTAGCTAGGAAGCACTTCTTTAGACCAAAATAATATTTGTTGTAATAGGTATGGACTTAAAGCAAAGGAAGGCCTTTTCTTTTTTGACACTTAACTGGCCCATTATGTGCCATTACTGAAGATTGTAGTAGAACATTAGTTATAATTCATGGGAAGTGTGTTAAATAATCACAGAAGAAACTTGAAGCCAGAAATGGAGGAAGTGTGAACATTTTTTGCATTTCAATTAACTTCTTTCTACTCAACATGTTTGACTAGTCTTTTGTTATTTTTATTTGAGATAGGGGCTCATTATGTATCCCTGGCTGGCCTGATCCTGCTATGCAGAGCAGGCTATTCTCCAACATACAGAGGTCTTCCTGCTGCTGCCTCCCAGGTGGTGGCATTAAAGGCGAGTACCCCCATGCCTGGTTTATAATTTACTCGTTTTATCTGGTGAGCACTGGTAACACTCATAGCCACTTGAGTGTGGCAGATCCCCCTCAGGCTGTTCCAAGAGCAGAACTCAGATGCTTTAAAATGGCTAGTCCATAATAGATTATTTTTCTTTTGCAGTATGTTGTATATATACTCTTCAAACATGTACTTTAGTGGATTTAATCTGTCAAGTATCCTGTTAAATCAGTTAAAAAAATAAGTCTTGAGGGGGCTAGAGAGATGGCTCAGTGGTTAAGAGTACTTACTGCTTTTCCAGAGGACTCAGATTCAGTTCCCAGCACCCACAACTGTCTGTAACTCCAGTTCCAGGGGATCCTATACCCTCTTCTGGCCTCTGTGGGCACTGTACACACATGGTGCACTTACAGACATGTAGGCAAAACAGTCATTCATATAAAATAAATACAAAAGAAAAAACCTCAAAAAACTTTGAAAACTAGTCCTAATTGTTAGACGAGTTGCTAGGCTATGGGAGAGATACTTGATAATATGTTGGGTGGTGGGTAGAAATAAACCCTGGATTAAAACCTAGTCAAAGGGATCTTTGAAAGAGGTTATACTGGAGAGGTGTCTCTGGCTATGTGTCCCTCCATGGCTTTTCTGAATAAAGTATATGGAAGAAATATTTTATGGTGGCTGCTATTCTTTGAGCAATTTGACGATATGAAGTTTTAATAAGAGTGATAGCTTTCAACATCCCATGCCTGCTACCTGGAATAGACTCTGTGTTTCCACCCACAGACTTGTTTCATGCACTCTCTCAGTGAATGAATAATCTTCCTGATCTTGATCCTGCATATCTGATAATGTCCTATCTGCTAATCTACACCTTCTCATTTCTCCTCTCCCCATCACAGCAATGAGCCAGTCAACCAGTCTCTGTCTCTGTCTCTGTCTCTCTGTCTCTGTCTCTGTCTCTGTCTCTCTCTCTCTCTCTCTCTCTGTATTTCATCTTTTTCTTTTAGCTTATATTCCACATGTGCGTGAGACCATGCAACGTTTTCTTTCTGCGTTTGGTTTAATTCACTCATAATGTCTTCCAGGTCCACCCAGGACAGAATGGCAGGATCACCTTTTTTTTAAATTTTTTATTTTTTTAAAGCTGACTCATGTATATCACATTTTCTTTATCTCTCTTTGTCTTGGTTAGGCATTTAGAGATTTAATAACATAAGAAGTACAATTAATAATGTAGTTGGGACTTTTGCTAAAAGAATGTTATAGCTGCTCATATTGTGACGGAAATGGGCAACTCCATCAGAAGATGGATATGTTAATTTCTCCCATTATAGTCACCATTTTACTATACATGCTGTGTATTTTAAAATATGGAATAGGATTTCTTTAAAAAATTTTGTGTTCTTAGCCTGCTGTGGTGGCACATACCTTTAATCCTAGCACTCGGGAGGCAGAGGCAGGCAGATCTCTGTGAGATCAAGGCTAGCCTGGTCTCCACAGCAAGTTCCAAGCCAGCTGAGGCTACAAGGAAGACTGTCTTGAAAAACAAACAAACAAAAAAATTCATGTTCTTTCAAAAATTATTTATGTGTGTGAGTATATTCACACATGTGTGTGGGTGCTCATAGAGGCCAAAAGGGTGTTGGATCCCTTAGAGCTGGAGTTACAGCATTTGTAGGCTGCCAGACATAGGTGTTGGGATCAGAACTCTGATCCTCATGATAGAGCAGCAAGAGCTCTTAACTCCTAAGCCATCTCTCCAGTCCCTAGTGGTTTTCTTATGGTGACACAATAAAATTAGGTACACCCAAAGTTCTTTGACAAATAAAGCACACTGTGAACACATACATTTATTTATTGAGAAACAATAGCATATATTCAAGGAGTAGAACTTGGTATTTTGATATACATACACATTGAGAAATTATTATAATCTGTCATCTTAGTTAATTGCACATGTGTGGTGAGAATCTACTCTCAGCAGATACCCCCCACCTCCTTTTTTTTGGCTTTT